GAGGTGCAAGACGATAAGGCACCTTCGCAATAGGCGCAGCCCCCGGAACCAGATCGATACCAAACTCTACTTGCCTCGCAGGAGGTACTCCCGGCAAATCCTCGGGAAAAACATCTGGAAACTCGCGCACCACTGGAACCTCCTCCACTGTCCTCGGTCTCTCGGAAGTCTCCCGCGTATCCATCACATACGCCACAAAACCTTTACATCCCTGCTGTAGACATTGCCTCGCCCTAGCAGCCGAACAAAAAGCTGATCCCGAACGGGTACCCTCGCCGTACACCGTAAGAACTCCCCCACTAGGGTCTCGTATAGTCACCAGCTGGCGCTCACAGTCGATGACGGCGCTGAATCGGCTCAACCAGTCCATGCCCACGATGACACAGACATCACCCATCGCAATAGGAATTAGGTCAATCGGGAACGCAACCCCAAAAATCTCTAGCACGCATCCCCGAAGAACCTCCGTAGCACAAACCACCCTCTCGGCCGCTATAGAAACGCTCAGAGGCCGACTTAACGGCTCACGACCAATGCTGATATGCTGACTAAAAGCTAAAGATACAAAGGATCTACTCGCACCCGAATCAAATAACACAAGAGCAGGCATAGAGTTCACAATAAAAGTACCTACACATATATTAACATAAGCATAACATTTCAACTTTAAATAAATACGAATTACAGTATACCTGCCACAACATCGGGTGCAGCGCGGACCTCCTCCGCAGTCAGCTGAAAGGCTCTCCCGCGAGCCCTCGGGGCCTCGACCTTCGCCGGTCGTGTCTCGGTAGTCCTGGTAGTAGGTGTAGATCCCTGTCGAAGCTGCGGGCACTCGGCCTTCCGATGGCCTGTCTGGTTGCAATGAAAGCAAACCATAAACCCCTTAGGACAATCCCTGGCAATGTGTCCTTCCTTGCCACACTTGTAGCAACCACCCGCTCTACACGCCCCCTCATGACTCTTGCCGCACTTTCCGCAAGTGCGGCCCTTCGAACCTCCCGTCCTCGAATCAGCGGACTTGAACCGCTTGGCTGCCGGCTGAGACTGAGCCGGTCGCCGGTCCACCTGCCGAGACTCGGCCTCCTCCCTGGCCTGGGTCTCCAACTCGATCTCGCGCTTCCTGGCATTCGCCTGAAGCTCAGTGAAAGTACGATAGGTGGAGTTCGACACAAACTCCCGGATATCCCTCCTCAACACGCCCAAGTACCGGCTCATCCGTGACTGCTCTGTAGACACCAACTCGGGGCAGAACATCGCCCTCTCATGAAACTTCCGTGTAACCACCGCAACGGAATCAGTACCCTGCTTAAGGGTCAAGAACTCCTGGATCAATCGTTCCCTCTCCACTGGGGGAACGTACTCGTCCCTGAACATCTCAGTAAACCTCTCCCATGTCACCGCTGAAATCTCCGCCTGAGTGAAGTTCGCCGTCACGAACTTCCACCAATCCTTCGCTCCCAGACGGAGCTGGTTCAAGGCGAACCGTACCCTCAGGTGCTCCGGGCATGAACAAGTGTAGAAGCACCCCTCTATATCGGCGATCCACCTCATCGCAGCAATCGGATCCTGCGTCCCATCGAACTCAGGGGGTTTCGTGTTGCTGAATTCCCGGAATAGCAACGAATCACCCCCTTGCGGTCTAGCAGCGGCCACCGCTGCGGTAGCGGCAGCGACTGCAGCTTCAGTCAGTGCGGCGTACCGCTCCTCAAACTCCTCCATCAGGGTGGTCTTAATGGACCCAAACATCTCCGGGATCTCAGCCCGAACCGCCGCAGCTACCTCCTCCTGAATCATCTGACGAATCTCCTCGTCACTCATACTGCTCGAACTCGCTCCGTGGCGTGTCGTAACCATGATGTCTCTGAAATACAACATAAAATTATCAGAGACTCCATCAAGTACATTTGTACTCGATAACGCAACCCTACTCAGTCTCCGATATCCAGGGATTCTTACTTGGGTCTTCCACCGACCCGGTGTCTTCGGTAGTACGGGCCCAATACTACCGACCACACCGTGTCAGTATTCGTCCCAAATCTTCCTCCCCAAACCCCGAATAGTGAGTACTCTACTTCTCGTATGCACTATCTACCTGCACGCTACCGAATATCTCATACAAGCAACTTCCCTAGACTAAGGCATCACAAAACAGGCCATTCTAGTCCTATCATGTATACCTAGTCTTCTAGCATGCATACAATTCATAATTCAATGCATAACATAACATTGTAAGGTATTCTGGGGATCTTTACCGTTCGGGCGCTGGCTGATCGTACACACTGCGTCTTTCTTGTTTACCACTTTCCATTTATAAAAGTTTATGTATTTATTATTTTTAAAAGATTTTTCCTCAAATCCTCGGTTTGAGTTCAGTTACACCCGAAGGTACACCCGAATCCCTCAAACCAAGGCTCTGATACCAATTGTAACAACGCAAATTTTCAAATAAATTTTCATTTTAAATAAAGTGAGTTCGTTCAATCAATAATATTTATTTCATGTTTCAAAACAAATACATATGTAAATTCCCCAAGATCTCAAATATCAGCAGTGTGTATGCATCATGCCGGCGCCTTCCCACGGTCCTCGCTAGTACCTGAAACACATACATAACAACTTGTAAGCATAAATGCTTAGTGAGTTCCCCAGTATACCACTTACACATATACGCCTTTCCAGGCCCGGACCTTACGGTCCACAGTACAATGCCTTCCGGCCCATATGATAATCGCCTTCCGGCCCATAATATAATTGCCTTCCGGCCCATAACATGATTGCCTTCCGGCCCATAAACATATATAACACATAATACATTTACTCTAACACATATATCACATATATCATATATCATACCTGACCTACCCGTCACATAGTACGTTGCCTTCCGGCCCATAGAAACATACATAGCATGCATAGCAACTATTCCTTTCAATTATAGCATATATATAACACATAACATATTCGACCTTCCGGTCACACAGTCAAACCCTTCCGGGTACAGTATAGTGAGAAGACTCACCTCGTAGTATGTAAACTATAAACTCTTGAAACCACTCGCACTCGGTCCGCCAATCTGCAGTCCCCCCTATAATACCATATACCCTTATTAATAATCTTATCAAACAAGACAACTGACCCTACGAAATTACATGCAGGTCAACTCTGGTCAATGGTCAACTTGACCGGACTCGTCGAGTACAAAGGCGACTCGACGAGTCTAGACGTCCTCCCCAACTTTCCCTGTTGTTTCCCTTTCTACTCGTCGAGTATCCCTCTTGACTCGACGAGGTCCTCGTGGAAGAATCGCGGGGCCACCCCGACTCCACTCGCCGAGTCCAAAGACGACTCGACGAGTTCCAATGAATCCTCAACTACTCGCCGAGTCTGAAGAACAACTCGGCGAGTCCCTGTAAATCTTCAAGCTACTCGCCGAGTCTGATCATTGGACTCGGCGAGTCCATGCCATGCAGTCGATCACCTGCTCCCTGAAATACGCATGGTCCCGAGACATGCACCCATGGGACTTTCTGGACGTCTAAGTATCCTATTACTGGGGTATAAACGACTGGGTAACACACAATAATCTATCTAATCCCCAAATGGGTCTCATAAACCCTAGATTCGTGTACAACACCAAAACGACAGAAATGGTCCGAGTATTACCTGGAAACGTGTTCTCTGTGTCCCCAACCTTCAGAGCTCAATCCCCTTGATCCTCCTTTGACCACAACCTTGCCTCTTCTTGTCTAACAAAGCCTTCAAGTTTCCACTAGCCTTCACTCCTGCTCCAGATGCCCACAGACGTTTAGGTTCTCCTCAATCGGCCAAAAGACGAGCAATGACGGCCCTAAAGACGTTATATACGATCCAGAATCAAACGGCTAGGGTTTCTGCTGAACAGCGTCGACTCGCCGAGTCCCTAATGGACTCGTCGAGTCCAGTCGCGAATCTGCGACCAAGTCCGTGGTCCTACTCGGCGAGTCAGGCACCAACTCGCCGAGTCTCCTCCTAAAAGTGCCCCAAAAATAGTTTTAAAACAATACCTGAAATTTCGGGCTGTTACACTATTTTATATTTCTATTCACCTTAATTTTTTAGGTACAAATTAAGGAAAAGAAAATTCTCGGCGTACCAACATATAGTCAAACGTACACCTTGCAAAATATGTAATTAAAATTAAATATCATATTTACTAATCGACTTATTTTAAAACTCTTGATGACATTTATGTATAATGATATATTTTGAATGACTTCATTCTTAATTTCAATGTTTAATATTTGAAAGTTCATATATGAAACATTGAATGTTTTCATGTAATATAAATAGTGTAATACAAAGTTTATTAGTTCAATATTATTTATTAATAGCTCATTCAAAACAACTTATTTCTTTTTTTTTTTCAAAAATATTATCGTACATAAGAAAAGTAGATTATATTAATGTTATACAAAAACTTATAATATATATTGGATATTCACTACTAGAAAAACAACCTTTTACGACACTCATTGCGCGTCGTAAAAGTCTCAGACGACGCGCAAATGCGTGTCAAGGAAGGCCCTGTCATAAAGAGAGACGACGTGCATTTACGACGCTCATTTACAACGCACAATTACGACGCGCGTTTACGACACGCAATGCGTATCAAGGAAGGCCCTGTTATAAAGGAAGATGACACGCATTCGCGTGTCGTAACCTTACGACGCGCGTGTTAATGACACGCAATGCGTATCGAAAGCCCCTGTCAAGAAAGGTCATGTCATAAATGAAGAGGACACACATTTTTGCGTATCATAAATTTAAATGTTTAAAAAAAATAAATTTATATATTTATTAATTTTTAAATTAAATTTGCATTTAATTTCTCATAATAGAAATAAAATACCATATACAAAAAATACAATCCATTGCATAATATAAAATAAAAATTTGATACTCAAAAAATAAAATAAATTGCACAAATTGTAATGTCATACAAAGAATCATTCAAATGTTAAACAAAAATAATACATTGCTAACATGGGTTATACATTCCTATAAAACTAACAAATAATCATACAACTCTGTTTCTTACTGGAAAGGAATGCCAAACATGATTACAAGTCTCCCTTAATCTTGATTACTCACCTTCTTAAGTAGAATGTTGTTGTTGAGAAGGTTACCTAGCAACAGATGAAAACACAACACCTCTCCCACAATCACAACATCATTTACAGAGAAAGGGTTGTCAATTACTTTCATTAAGACTTTCATTCAATCACAAAAATATTAAATAAAAGGGTGAAACAGTAACTTACTTTTGATAAGTTGATCTCCCTTAGAGCAAACACAGCTAAAGCATTGAACAAGACCCTATTTCAAAATTGTATACATACACAAATCATGATACCTGATATTGGAATACACACTTTGAGACATGAATAAATACGAGTAGATTAACCTGGATACATAGGAAGTAAAGATGGAAGGTGCTAGAACTCCGGGGGCATTGGGTTGGTTCCTTCCCACTCGCACACACCAAGGCAGAACTCCACTTAATCCAGCACCAAAATAAGCCTGCATTCAGAAAGCTGCAGGGGTGAGTTACAATTCAAGAATTTGTTAAAATTTGAGGAATAACATGTTCAACCAAAACAATATTAGAAAACAGGGTTAAATGTGAAACATAGCAATGTAATAATTATCAAGGTGCTGGAATACTTGAAATCTAGATTATTTGCTTGTTTGTACATCCAGACGATTTTATCACGAACATAAGTCATGTTATCAACTTTCTGAAGAAGTATACCAAGACATTTGTAAGAGAAGAATACTCTCAATAAGATATTTTAATTAAAAAAATGTAATGATAATGATAATGAGTTCATACCTGTGAAGTAGTGCAGAATGCTCATCATCATATGTATAAAGCTCATACTGCTTTGCAAAAGCATTTCCAAGAGAAATGACCCAATCAATGTCTTGAACAACATCCAAAGTTTCTGCAAGAAACTGCAAACAAAAAAAGAAATAAATAATAATGACATGAAAAGTAAGACTATCAGTCTATTACCTCAACAATAAAACAAAACAAATTATTATTAAAATCAAATAATGATAATACAAATTGTTACAAATTATGGGACAGCAGGGTCTTCTATGATGACATATAAAGCAGCCCTATTACAATATTACCCTTGTGGGACAGCAGGGTCTTCTTCTATGATGACAAATTGTGGGACATCAATACATGACTAAATGCATGTAGATTGATAAGGTTGTTTCTTTTTTTTACTTAATAAAATCAAAATGAATTGTCGTGCTAAGTGAGAGGTTGGTCACTTTATGTATTAAGACCCTCCCTATTACAATATTACCCTTGTTTATTTTTTTTATTTTATTCAACTTTTGACAATCTCATGAAAAAGGCACTATCAACCTCGTTTTTTTTTTCAATGTTCACAGAATTTTAAGCAAAATGTTGGCATCTATTTACCTGTTGTTGTTTGTTTTAGAATTTGGAGAGAGAGAGAGAGAGAGAGAGAGAGAGAGTCTTCATGCCTTTATGGTTTATCAAAGGAGGGCGCGAAAAGACAACCCAGTTACCATCCTAAGCAATTAGTGGTCCTAGACCATGTGAAAAACAGAGCTCATATCATAAGCCGATTTCATAAAAAGATATATAAAGAAAGACTAAAGAGCCAGTACCAGTTGATCAAACCCATGACATCTTTTGTGTGCCCAATGAATTTGTTCATGACAAGTGGATCCGAAGGACATATTGCATTTGCTTGCAAAAAAAACTATACACAACCAAAGAAAAATGAAATTACATCAAACCAAATAAAGAAAAGGGTATTTTAGACATTTTTTTAAGAATGTGGTATAGCAATTACTACCTGCTCAGCGAGTTTAGGTAAGTGACACCTAAAGATTAAAAACAAATAATTTAATCATATTACACTTTGATAATATTATCATTTTTTAATTTAAATAAAAGAAAAAAGATAAATTACCCAGGAAATAAGCGTGCAATAGTACAATAACCAGACATAGCTTGATCATCTGCTTCTTTGGATGCATAAGCATTCCCATATCCTATCCAACCAGGGGCAAATATTCCTTCCAAGTTACCTGTAAGTGTTGTGATAGATTAATCAAAAATTAATTAATTAATCAAAAATCAAAAATAGGATGGAACCTTTTAAGTTATCTATTAAGTGTTGTGATAGATAATGGGCAAGAGCAGCTTCACCATGGAGGATTTTCGCGCCACTCCCAACTGCCTCCTCATCAACAACCACACCATCTATTATATCTTTACCTGTTCTTTCATTAGGAATTTGCATTACATTTATAAATTATCATTCTATTTCTATCATTTCATTATAAAAAGAAAAAAAATAATACAATAGTAATCTTTAGACACAAACCTCATACATGGCATTTCATAGAGTTGAACATTGAAGTAGTTTGTTGAACAGCTGTTTTTTGGTCCTCCTGTGATCAAACAACATAACAAGTCTTCATCCCAAATACACAATTAAAGATTTTTTGTTCTTAAAAAAAAAAAGAAAAGAAATAATATGGTTTTAGTTTACCTGGATGCTATCCTTCCCAATCCAACAGCACATGTAGTGATCTTCTTTCTTTTCATCAGAATGGTAGGAGTAAAGACAAATATAGCAATCTCCACTATAAAATTTTCCAATATCCTCCTTGGGTAATTCCGTCTTTTCTTCACCATCAATATGCCATACCTAAAGCGCCCACAATTATTTTATCTTTCTACATTAAATCTAAATGTAGTAACAAGTTTATGATCTGAAACCTCAATTTTTCCATTTTCTCCAAGCAAAGGTGGAACTTCCTCCTTTACAGGAGCCGTTTTTATCTGAACTTTGGCAAAAGCACCTTGTTGCTTTAGCAGAGCTAGTCATTAGAACAAGAGTAGAACTTAGAGTTTTAGAAAAAGTCAAAAATAGCCCTAGAAAACTCAAACACCCATGTCCCATGTAACAAAAATATATATAAGATATAGAATGAATCTACCTGCTACTTTTCCTCTAGTTTCCTCAGGAGGTCAACTTAGGGTTCAAGAATGAATCTACGCCCACAGAGTAAATAATCCAACTCACTTGTAGAAAATATTTGTAAACTTGAAGCCTAAAAAACCTGATAGTAATAAGATAAAATATTAGCTTAAAAAAATTATTTTGTATATTTTCTAATTCCATAAACAATTTAGCATATTAGAATGTTGGAAAAAGATGATGACCTGATTAAAGCCAGCTCTAAATGCTTCCAATTGCCTTGTGATACAGAGAATCAAACTTATTTCTTGTTTCTCCTCCCACGTTTAGGTCCCCATCCTTCAAGCTTTGCAACAGGGCAACCCACATATGAAGTTCATATGTGGTGGAACTTGTCAAATAAAAGAAAAAGAGAGAACTGAATGCGTTCATCTTAATCGGTCACTTCAATCAAGAATTAGTGCCCTAAATCTTCAACTACATATGTCTTAACAATTTCACATAAATAATTATAAAGGATTATTACAATTATCTGAAATTTCAGATCTAGGGATGACGTACCTGGAGCCCTTGGTCGCTCAAAGATGATTTCCTCGGTAGAAACCATGGTGAGTTTGGCGCCGACGTCCTCTTAAACGGCATCACCGAACTTAGGCCAAGAACGCCTCTCCATGGCACGCTTGCTCAGCCGAGCATTAGCGATTTTATGGATGCGTGTGGTGGTGGTAATCTTAACCCGATTACCTTCGTCGTTGAATTTGTACTTTCAACCCGTGTTCATCGGGTCCAATAACCTGTTTCGGCGGTAACAAATAGTCATAGTCACCACCATCAGCTTCTTCCTCCAATTCGCCCCATCTGGGTTTTTGAGCCATGTGTGCGAAGCTGCTAGAATTGTTGCTGAGGGAAAATTAGGGTAGGAGATTCGAAGTGGTAATGTGAATAAGATGAAGATGTAATGAAGTCGGTTGTTGTGATTCTTTAGGCTTCAAAATTGGTAGATTTTTTTTTTCGATTCTTTCAAGTTTGAATAAGAAAATGAGAAAGAGTTAGGGAAATCAAGAGTGCAATGCTCGTCCTTTTTAGGTTGAAGATGAAAGATAGATAGAAGATAGAAAAAAAAAGGCGGGTTTTCAAAATTTTGGGGATTTCATTTCCACCCTTGTCTACTAAAAGCGCGTTTCATTAAAATTATAAAGCGACAGGTACAGACGACGCGCATTTAAGATAAAACGCCCTCCGTGTTTTTAATTTTTTTTCTTGAGACCCTAAATTAAGGGCACGCAATAAAGCGTGACGTAAATCCTTAAATTTTTTTGGAGAGATGACACTATTTTAAGGGCACGTCCTTTTGCGTATCGTTAATTATCGCGTGTCGTAAAAAGCACGTCATTAAAGGTCTTTTTTTCTAGTAGTGATTATAAAAGTAAAAGTAAGTTTATAAGGTTTGGACTATATTAGATAGTATCAAAATATAAATTGATGAATTTTTATGTTATTAGATAATTCGGTTAATGCCCAAAACATGAATAAAAATATAAATTTCAACATATTTCTAGATTTTCTGATAATTATTTTAACCACTTAAATGCATTTTTGCGCAACGCGCGGGGTTACATTTAGTCATTATATACTTATAAAGGAAGCATATTTTTTTGCACCACATTCATTTGAAACTCTCATATATTTTTTCTTTTACCACATTTATTTGAAACTCCCATGACTTTTCAATTTTTTTTTAATAATAGTTATAATTTGGTTAATTAGGTTAAATAAATATCAAACCTAAATTGTAATCATATATAAACTAAATTTCAATATTAAATAATATCTTTATTTCTACTAATAAAGTTATGTTTTTGAACTTATAACATATTACACTTAATTTATTAGTTTTAGTATATTGTTGGATGTAAACCATTATCATTTTAAAGATATAATTTTGGAACAATTTGTATAAAATACATAGATTATTAATTTAAATATAACTTTATAGGGTCCAATTAAATATAAATTTTAGTTTTACTTAAACAACCCAAAGAATATTTTGTAGATAGTTAAAAGTGATAAATTATAGTGTCTTTCTAATAATGATTATAAGTTGGTTAATAATGTAAAATTAATACCAAACCTAAAGTGTAATAAAAAATAAACTAAATTTCAGTTTTAAAATAATATCTTTATTTCTACTTATAAAGTTATGTCTTTACAATTTAACATATTATACTTAACTTATTACATTTAATATGATGTTAAATGTAAACCATTATCAATTTAAAGCTACAACCTTTGAACAGTTTGGACAAATTACTTAAATTATGAACATAAATATAACATTACAATGTCAACTTAAATATAAATTTTAGTTCCACTTAAAAACTAAAGAATATTTTGTAAATAGTTAAAAGTGATAAATTATAGTGATAAATGCAAAAACTAAATTGTAATCTCAATTTAACTAAAATATTTCCTAATGATATTTTTATAAATGTTAAAAGTTTTCAAATAAGTAGCTTAAAATAACTTATAATAACAATAGTTAAAAATAACTCTATATAAATGATTATATTGTTACCTTTAAAATCAAAAAATAATGTTTGATGTTTTAAATAATTATAATGAAAGAAATTAAAACATTAAACAAATAAATTTTAAATTATTATTTAACAATAACAACACCTATAAATAATATTAAACCTCAAATTATATTTAATTTTATTCATGGGTAACTCACGGGTAGAAGTCACTCAAACGATTGAGATTACAAAGTTATAATAGATGCGTATATTATCATACAATTCAAAATAATCAATATATAATATATCAATTTAGTATACGAATTATTATATCAAATTTAATGACAACGTTGTTGTTATATTAAAAAAACATATATTTATAAAGACTTCAACTATATAGGTGTTTCTGTGCATTACAATATCAACTTAAATATAAATTTCAGTTCCACTAAAAAACCAAAGAATATTTTGTAAATAGTTAAAAGTGATAAATTACAGTGATAAATGTAAAAAAAACTAAATTGCAATCTCAATTTAACTAAAATATTTCTTAAATATATTTTTATAATTGTTAAAAGTTTCCAAATAAATAGCTTAAAAAAACTTACAAGAACAATAGTTAAAAATAACTCTATATAAATGATTATATTGTTACCTTTAAAATCAAAAAATAATGATTGATGTTTTAAATAATTATAATGATAAAAATTAAAACATTAAGAAAATAAATTTTTAAAAATTAGTTAACAATAACAACAACTATAAATAACATTAAACCATATATTATATTTAATTTTATTCATGTGTAACTTGCGGGTAGAAGTCATTCAAACAATTGAGATTATGTAGTTCTAATAGATGTATATATTATCATAAAATTCAAAATAATCAATATATTATATCAATTTGGTATATGAATTATTATATCAAATTTAACCACAACATTATTGTTATATTAAAAAAACATATATTTGTAAAAACTTCAACTATATAGGTGTTTCTATGTAACGTGCGTGCATTCGCCTAATATACTTATACAAGAAGCATTTTTTCCTTTTACCACATTCATTTGAAACTCACATGACTTTTAAATTTCTTTACAATAATATTCTATATAAGTTAAATAATGTTCTATAAACAAGAAAATGTGTTCTATTACAATGTCTTCATCCTACATCGATACTGAGAGTAAACAAGAGAACATTTCCTCTTCTATAAATAGGAAAAGTTGTGAAATGTTTCAAATGGACAAAACCATGAGAACTTCTTTATTTCTACCTTTTTTAGGATTTTGAGGATATTATTTGGTGAGATTTTCTATATTGAAAAGTGTCCAGTTAGGTTTTATAATTCCAAAAATGGTTTTGAACGAGATTTTTTAGGTTCAAACCGTGTTTTAGTAGAAAAAGTTATGTAGTTGGGTATATTGAGTTGAATTGAATTTGGATCAATTTGGACTGATAAAGTAATTATTTTTCTTTCACCACATACATTTAAAACCCCTATGATTTTTCAAATTATTTCTAATAATATTATAAATAAGTTACATAATGTTATATAACATCTACCTAAACTAAAAATTATAACTGTTTGAAAAATCACTTTGATTCAAAAGCAAGAAATATATACAAATCAGGTTTCACTAGAAAAAAAATTATGTACTTTGGTATATTAAGTTTAATCGTGTAACATCCCGTTTGAAATTAAATAAATAATAAGCTCTAAAACCCCGAGTTGTAATTTTTATAATTATTTTATATTATTGTAGCCAAAATCAATAATATTTAGCGGAGTGTTGGTTTCGGGGAGCCAAATGTTATAATTTGGATTTTCATGGGTTAAAGTGCATTTCTGGGATTTATTTTATAAAGATTTTCAGAAGTCAGGGGGTGTTTGGTAATTAATGGACATAGATTGAAAGGATTTTGGAATGTTGAGGCTTAAATGGTAACTTTTGGGAATTGAATTGTTAAGAATCTTGGATGCTAGGGGCTGCGTTATAAATTGTAGCCTTAATTTGAAAAAGATCTCATGGGGAGGAACCAAATGTGTAAAATGTGAATAAGTTTGAATGGAGCGGGATTTAAACCCGGTGCCACCTTTCCCTCTTGTTGCAACACCTTAACGCTAAACCTAATGCATCTTTAGCCGCCACCCTTATACCTCCATGCTCCAGCCGTCTCCGTCTTCAGTCAGGTAAGGACCGTTGAGTTTCACCGCCACTGCTCGCATGGCCGAAAAATGCGAGTACTACGAGCCGATTGTGGTCATGGGAGACCGGTTGAATGAGTTCGGTAGCCGTCATGTCCCTCATCGTCAATGGCGCAACCCCCCAATTCATCCTCGTTGTTGTTGCCATTGTGGCTCGCCATCGTCGTTGCCGCCTTGGAGATGGTCCGTTCTATCAAATGTTCTCCAACCTCCGCGTGCTGCCTCGAGGGTGGTTATGTTAGGAGCGTGTTTCAGTGGATTCATGGAGGTATGTGTGTATGTTTCAGTGTGGATTTGGCGGGTGCTATTGGCCGGAAAAGCAACCACCACCACCACCGTGAGGTGGTGGCTGCCATCTCTTTTTCCACCACCAGCCACCATAGGGGGTTGGCTGTGTACGTGAGTGGGTGTGTGTGTGTGCATAATTCATGATTCTAATGCTGTATGGATTCTCTTGGCCAGGAAACCGAAGAAAACTCATCACCACCACCATGAGATGGTGGCTGCCACTTGTTGTCGTCATTCTGCCACTACTAGCCACCATCTCCGATGGCTATGGGCTTTCGGGTGCATTGGATTAATGTTTGGAGTGCTTTTGGTGTTGCATTGGCCTAAGATCATAACCACCACCACCGCGAGGTGGTGGCTGCCATCGTGAACGACCGCCAACCATCACTACACGAGGTGGTAGTGGGTGGTAACCGACTTGATAGACTTCAATTAATGTAAAAACTTAACTATTGGAGTAATTGATTTGTGATATGTTTGGAAACCCTAATTAACGTTTAGAAAACCCTAATTTTGGGAATGTGAGTATGGATTTGTCGGGACCCACGTTGGACCGTTGGATTTGGAATTTTGAATTACGCCCGACCACATTGTATATTTGGTCTAGTGGAGTAATGGACTTAATGAATTAGGTCCTTAATGGATTAAGTCCTTAATGGGTTAAGTAATAACACTTAGGGCTGGAAATTCTCGACACGACCCGCGACACGACACGAAATAAATGGGTTTGGGTTGAGTTTTTCAATCCGCTAACCCTCCAACCCGCCAACCCGTTTATTAAACGGGTCATATATGGGTTTCTCAAAAAATAAACTTGTTGACCCGCCAACCCGTTTATATTCTCAATAAAAAAAATTATT